AATTTTCAACTGTATGTTTTTGTATTGTACATATTTGTATTTATACTCTTTCCAAACTAAGCCTAAAAGACTTTCTCAGGAGCACAAGATGATGTCATGCTCCAAGAAACAAAATTGGAAGAAATAGGTAATAGAAAGCATAGGTGAACAAAAATAGGTGCCCTCTTAGAGGACTTGTACTATGATAGGATTCCTCCTGTGTAATCTATAAGGGTTAGGGGTGACCACGAGTCGAGATTCTCACGAGTTATTCGTTCTCGGCTCGACTCTGTTTAAATCGAGCTTTGAGCCGAGCTCAAGCCCGATATACAGGCTTGTTTGCTAATCGAGCCGAGTTCAAGCCCATTGAAGCTTGGCTCGTAAGGCTCGCAAGCCTAATCAAGCCTAGTATAATAAATAGATAATTTTTATTGTATATAATAATATTATATATATAATATTTTTATTTTTTATAATAGTTTATACTTTTTATATGTACAATTTTTTTAGAAAAAGATTGGCTTGCAGTTGACCTCAAGCTCGAACTTGTGAGATTTTGAACTGAGTCGAGCTCGAGCTCAAGTATCTAGCTCCAACCGAGCGCAAGCTCGAGCCAAACAATATTTCTGCAAGCCGAGCTCAAATAGCCAAGTAATCAGCTCGACTTAGCTCGAACCCACCCTTAATAGGGGTTTACTCCTATTTGTCATGTGCACCTCCTTGTGTACCTCTTTTTCGTTTTAATGAGATTCAGTTAACTTGTCTCAAAAAAAAAGCATGGGTGAAGAAATAAAAGAATGAATCCATTACCATCAATGGATCTTTAGGGGGAATTATAACAATATAGGAAGACAGCATATTTGAATTTTTAGAGGAATTGGCAGGTGCCTTCTCTTTGTTGATAAGACACAAGAACAAAGAAGATGGGTTTGTATGGATTTTAACCAACATTTATGGACCTACCTCCTACATGAGAGGCCTATGGGAGGAGCCTTAGGTTTTTTTTTTTTTTTTGAAGATCAATGAAGAAAAAAATTTCATTCAATCAAACAGGAAGATACAATGTTCTGGTGACAAGGAGTCACCCCATCGCTTACAAGAAAGGCCCAAAGAAGAAACAAAAAGATCATAGATAGACTTGAACACTCAAAGTGTTCCAAAAATCAGCTCCGAAATTTGCTTTACTTAAGCCTTCAAATTCTGGCAAAACTAAAACCCAACCAACAATCCTTGAACTGATGACAGCCCCCAAATTTCTATTGCTTCTCATTTTGTCCTCGAAAATTCTCTACCTTCTTTCCCTTCCAAACCTCCCAGCATATAGCAAAAGGAACACAGCTCCATATTATTTTTGCTTTGATGCTTCCTTGCACCCTCAGCCAGCAGCCAAAGATCTCAGTACCTCTAGGATCCCACCCAGCCATGATGAAAAAGGTTGAAAAAGTAGACACAAATACTTTAATGAAGCTGCAGCGCACCAGCAGGTAATAGGTTCCTCATCTGACAAGCAAAGGGGGCCTCTACTAGGAAACTGATACCCCCCTCTGCATTGTACTTGGCTCTTTCTTCTAATAAAGTTTACTTGTTATTGATCCAAAAAAAAAAAAAAACTGATAGCCCTTCTTTTTCAGACTCTCCACCATCTGGTCCAAATCCCCATTCAGCAGAAATCTATCCAGTCTCCTAAGAATTGGTGAGTCCTGCCCATTTGACCATGTGAACTTAGACCCTACTGGCACCAGCTCTTCTAATTCATTTCTACTGATAAAATCTCTAAAAGACCTCATTGCCACAGACATTCTTCTATCCCTCCCATAATTTCCCCAATTCACCTCACCACATTAAAGTCTCCTCCAATCAGCCATGAGCTTACTGTGGCTTCATGGAATCCCTCCAATTCCTCCCATAATAACCCCCTATCTCTATCCAAGCTAGGCCCATACACATTAGAGATAAGGACCTTTGAACCTGAAGGAGCATGTTCCAGCACCACTGAAACAGAAAACCTCGCAATAAAACATCCCAGAATCCCAAATAGAGTTAATTCCACCTGACAAACCTTCCAGAATCTCTTAAACTGCTTACATTCCATGAGCAGGTTCTCATTTCCCCTTATTTTTTCTTTTCATTTTTTTATTCCTCCTCAATCTTCTCTACTTCCTCAGTCCCTTCCTGACCCCTTGATGCTTGTTCTTCCTCTTCTTTCCCTTCTACCTCCCCAAAAGCTTTCTTGCAAAATCCTCTCCTCTTAAGAAAAAAAGTCTCAGGATTTTAGTCACCTTTATGTCTGTCTCAAGCACTCTCTCCAAATCAGCAGATTTCTGAGGTACATGGGTTTCATCGATTTCTATTTCCTCCTGCACATCATCCCCTTTTTCACCTTTTTCCTCCAGAGGCCTTGTCCTAAGCTTCTTCTTATCCACCCCTTCCATCAAGGTTAATCCCCTACTCTTCTCTCTCCCCAGTGTCTTCTCTCTACCTTCCTCCCACCTACTCTTTTCCACCGCCCCCTTTCCGATCCCTTTAATTGACTCCTCACTTTCCGGCTGTCCCTCCCTACTACCCCTTCCCTTCTCCCCTTTTTCTACTTTTTCACCATCCCCATCCTTCTGTAGAAATCTCAAGGTTCTCAGTACCCTCCTGATGATCCTTGTTGATGTCTCCTGACTCATTGTACTCTTCTTGTGCTTTGCCAGAGACCGCCTCCTCAATCTCGCCAATTATGTCACCTTCTCTCATTCTCATTTTTTCCTGCGGCTCTTCAACCTGGAAATCCTTTGCTACTGCTCCTCCTTCCTCGTGATTCTCATTCACTCTTCTCTCCTCCGTCCAATCCGGGCCACCACTGTCACTTTCCCCTTTCGGATGTGCCTTCTGAATCTTTTGAACGTTAGCTTGAGAATCCCCCTTTTCTGTTATCTTCTTTTCTTTCTCTGGTTCCTTAACCGACTTCCCTTTTCTAATTTTTTTCTCCATAAATGGATCTTGTTGTGCAGCAAACGTAACCATCCAATGTCATCTTCCTACCAATCCGGTGTATTACTTGCACCACTCCCTTGTTCAACTGTTCCCCAAGCTAACAAGCTTATTGGAAGTTGATCCATCACCACTACAACTATCCCTTTTCCTTTTCGTCTCTTTAATTTCCCCTTCCCCATTTTTAATGTTATTCCTCTCTTTCAAATATCTATCTTCACTCCTTTTTACTTTGATGTTTTTCTTAACCCTGGGCCCACCTCTGATAATCGACTTGAACTTTACCCCTTCTTTTGAATTTCCACCTTTACCCTCTATATTCAACTAGGATCCCCCAATGTTATATCCCTTTTTACCCCTAATCATCTGTGCCCTTTCATTTTCTTCCACTTCCCCTTTTGGTTGTTCTCCTGTGAACTACAACTGTTCCCTTCCCTTCTTCTTCTTTTTCTCCTCTCTTTCCAAAATATTTCTTTCTGTTATATCTCCTCCAGTGAAGCATCTCCGGTTTATGCACTAATCCCTCCCCGCAACTGCAATCCTCAATTGGTAAACTTCTCCAACGTAAAAAGGTCCAACAACGTTGGAATCAACCAAGCATTCTATATTTGCACGAAGATCTTGGAAAATTGGATTTGCTCCCATCGGCAATTTCTAAAGTCGATAAATCTGAACTTGCCACAAGCATTTCCAACGACTCTGAAGGTCTCTATCCTCCAAGCATGCAATGGAATGACGTAGACGTCAATCCATACTTCGTCTCTCTCCTTTGACAGTTGCCCAAAGTCTGGACTCCACCTATCCACCCATAGCTCTACCGACCTGATGACCCCTTCTTTTTCTCATTCCAAAACCCTTTCCATATCACGTTTTCTCCTCAAGCTAAACAAGAATGTACAAGCCCCCAATCTTTGCACTTTCTCTAAACCCCTTCCTTGCCATTCTCTAAACACAGAATCTTCTACATCACTTACATCGGGATCAGCTTCGAGAAATATCCCAACCAGGCAACAATGCAAAAACTCTAATCTCTCCTTTAATCCATTCACACCCTTAACTAACACTCCTCGCATTTTCATTATCACAGTATTACCAATATTGTCTTCGCATTCTCGGGGGCAAGAGAAACATCAACTACTCATTAGAGCGTCATGAAGAATTGGGGACTCCAATAAGATTTTGTGAAGAAAAGAAAGGGGGGACCTCTAGAATCACAGCAAGCATTAGAAAGTTCAACACATTTATAAACAACTGATTGCTGAAGGAAATCCTGCTTAGGAGTTAGGATGCAGCAATCACCTGGTCTAGCATACAAGAAAATTCTATTTGCTCAAAATTAGACAATACATTTACACAATTGATTGGGAATCTCAAAGAACCATTGAACCTAAAAGCTTAAGCTGTTAAGTGAGGTCCTTGAATAGGTTTTATTCTCTAAAATGCCCCCTCACACGAAAGTCCATTGGGCTTGAAGCATGGACAGCACAGGCCCACCCATACCTTGTGCTGAAACTTAATTAATTATAATGGGGGTGATGAGAATCGAACGCTAGACCACTTGGTCAAAGTGGCTCTGATACCATCTCAAAGAACCATTGAACCTAAAAGCTTAAGCTGTTAAGTGAGGTCCTTGAATAGGTTTTATTCTCTAAAAGGGAAGAACAACCTTGAGCAGAATACTGTGGGGGGAATTAACAGAAATTTTGAAGTGTGGAATTGTTTGCCCCCTTTTTTGTTAGTTTATTTTGGTCATCCTGTTCTTGTAGATATGCTGGTGACATTATGCACAAGCACCAAGATGTGGCCAATCAGAAAGAAATCTGGAGGTAATTTTTTCCCAAACAAAAATTAGAATAACCTTCATTTGCATTATGAAAATCTAATGGAGGTCTAGGTAAGAATTACTATATTGCCAGCATGAGCCCCACAGAGAGGAGTTGAGGGAATATGCTCCTGTTTAAGAAAAAGACTTTGCATGCAAGGCAGCAACACAATTGAAAACCTACTGTATAACTAGAGATTATAGGTGACGAGATAACACTTACAGAAGCAGCATCAATCAAGTATTCTGAAATGGAATTGCTTAGAATGATTATACTTTGCTCTGAAAGTTTCGTTGGTCTGGAGTCCAGTATAACAAGCAACCTTAGCATTCCACACAGGTTGTCAATAGGTGGATTGAGGGGCTGGGGAAAAAAAGAGCACCATTAGAGATCCCAAATTGCAGTAGAAATAATCCCCACCGGCAAATGAAGTATCTGATATGCAAAATGAGTAAACTAAGTGGAAAAATCTTGTGCTTAAAAAGTGCTCTCTCAAGTATGATGATTAAGAGCATGATGTATATAAGAAAAATGGAATGAAGCATATAAAATACAGATAGCACAGTTAGCTCACTATTTCATCAAGTATAACTCTCTGCACTATTTGAAATATTAGAGCATCATCACCCATCTGACGGAGACAAGAGCAGACTGCACCAGTTATGGCCTTAAAAGTTTCGCGGTTTGATATCTTTTTAGCATTCTCCACATGAGTATAAAGCCTTCCTGCAAAGGTTTCAACTTGGAGTTAAGGTATATAAAATTTTTTAAACTCTGCAATTATCATATTTGGTTCACCAAGACATTTGGAAATGGTTATGTTGTTGCTTCAGATGAGAGTATTTACATGGCAAAACATCATGGGTTTTACAAATCTCAAACAAAAGAAAACTTCAGTATTTTTCCCGATGAATGCCAATATATGCATCAAGTGTTCTGAAATATCACAGATATTTTAAAAATTTTATGTGCATTTTTTCAGGTTCTGGCAAAAATGGGAGATTTTGTTAACTTCTCTTAGCTTGAAACACAGCCATCTGCAAGATACATTTAAAAAGAATCAGATCCATTTCTTTTGGAGGAGGGACTTAGATTTTTTAACTATACTCTTGAATCGGCTACTCCATGTGTCTTTCTCACTAAAACTAATCAATCTGGCAATCTACAAGTTAAAAAGCTCAATTTTAGAGGCAAAACCCAATTAATGGTACTTTTCTTCAATTTTTCATCATCATCCATGCCCTATCCCAACTATATGGAGTTGGCAACACGAATCCCGTCTTGCCAGTCCATTCTATTTAAAGCCATATCCACTGCTAAATTATTAGTGCTTAAATAATTTCTTACTACTTATACTCGTGTCCTTTTTGGTCTACCCAAAACACTTCTAGCCCCTTCAATGTGTAACAAATCACTTCTTCTAACTGCTGCAGTTGGTGGACTACTATGAGCGTGCACAAACCATCTTAGTGTACTCTCTCATTTTATCACCTATTGGAGCTACTCCTAGGTTCCCACGAATAGCGTCATTCCTAATCTTATCCTTTCTAGTTTTTCCACTCATCCATCTTAGCATTCACATTTCTGCCACATTCATTTTCTAGACATGTTGTCTCTTGACTGCCAAATACTCTGCTCCATACAACATAGCTGGCTTCGCAACTCTTTGGCCAATCACTTTTCTTCAAAATTTCTTTATGTTAATGATTGAATTTTCTTTTTCCAATCAAACAATCTGATTAAGGCAAGATATGTGGTGCATCTACAAATGGCAAGTCAACCAAAGAACACTACCACTATATCCATTTCTTCTTTTACCTTCAATTTCAAAAAAAAAAAAAAAAAATTAAGCTGCTTACCCTTCATCAGCTGGGTTCTTTTATGACTGGAAAATTATGAACTACAAACCCAGACTCAAAATGAAAAAACCAAAAAAAAGGGTAACTATGATCATGAGTATAGCAGCAAAATCTGATCCTCATAATCTCTAAAAGACCCTTCCACTTCTGATGGCCCCAGGTTCCCAAAACAGCATCCAACAAAGTTAAATTTGACTATCCCGTTGGAGGGGTCCTACTCCAAAACATTGGCAGTCACCATGCAGGATCCCAGGATACATTTTGATTTTTGGAGTTTCATTATAATTTTCATTCCTTCCCTAACCTTTTAACATTTTCCCTTATTTTTGCAGATGCTTCAAGATATCAAGTGATAGTTAAAAATATATCCCCATTTTCCATATTTTCCGATCTGTGAAAAATTATGCTTCAACCATGCTTGCCCAATCTTTCCTCAATTTTCCCTAATTTGCTAATAAATTGGTGATATTTGTAAGGAATCAATATACACCCAAAGCAAAGAGAATATTTCTAGCAATTTTGAAATTTAGAACCATGCCACAAAAACGGATTCAAATTACCAGGCAAAACCTTCCAACGTGCAACTAAGGTGACAAAGAAACTGATTAAATCCACGAGCTGGAGATGTCCAATTTTATAAGCTGAGTGGAGAACATCTATAATTCGAAACAATACAGATGGTTCCAAATTATCACCTGCAATGAAGTGGCATTGAAGCAATGAGAATACAAAAACAAACCATAAGCAAGCAAATGATAGTCTTGCAGAAAGGGAACCAAAAGTAAAGAGGCAGCTAGAAATGAAGTTAAATAAACTAACTAGATTAGTAATAAGAAACTAAGAAAGTCCCAACAATTTGTAGAGCATCAACATACTGTTTGATGGAACATGTTTTGTAGAATTTTTTTCTATTTTTACATGTTTTTATTGACAATAACAAGGGACGGAAATTCTATTAAAGAAATGGAACATAAAAGAAAATATCCAAATAAAAAACACTGTTTGACTCATATATAGTATTTTATCAAAGAAGGCCATGGAAGAAAAGAGAAACATAGTACACCAAATCTATGTGGAAACAGAGTGGATCAAAAGACAGCTAATACTTACACAAACAACAATATACTAATGATCTAAGCAAAAGTGAATCCAAACTGGAGAAGTAATATAGACAACAAACAGAAAGTTCCTGACAGTCTTTGGGGAGCTTCATGAAAGGACCATATAATATGCTTCCTGCAAAAAGAGAAGTCTAACCAATAAGGCAAGAAGGCAAGAAAAACTCACTTATATGATGCATATAATAATTGACCTAGTTTATTGCTTTGATCTTACCATCATCTAGACACATACTATAGAATTCTCCTAATGTATGTTGCATGATATCATATTCCCAAGCAAGGGAGGAGTTCATAGGAGCATATTGTCCAAGGCGAAGTAGAAGATGCAATATAACCTACAAAGAACATTTTGCATTCAATACTAAAAGGAAAAAACGATTTATTTATGAACTAAAAATGAAGTGAAAAAAACAAAAAAATAAATCTGCAACAAAAAAAGACATCGTCCCTCAATCTTTCCAGCCAGATTCAGCAATTCAAAATGCACATGTATCTAGGAAGATGAAGGGCTATATTTCCCAATTGAAACATTGAAATTAATGTTGTAATGTAAATGCAAACCTTAGACAATGAAGACAGTGTATCACCCAGACGAACCAGCAAAACTGGAAGCTCGCGTATCCAAGTAATCTGATGGTCTAATATCTCTGGTTCACTTGCATCTAATAACAGTATGCCCTGCCTCTTTGACTTTGTAGTGGAAGGAAAGAAAAAAAGTAAGTGATGGAAACATACACATATTCTATATGTTGTCACTGGTTTACATGCCAAACAGTTCAATGATTCTCATATAGAAAAATAGGAGAAAAGGCTAAAGGTCCGTTTCGTTCACGATTGGAATCGGAATCAAAATCCATCAGAATCAGAACCGGAATGGTATATTCCCATAGTCTGTTTGGTTCAGATTGGAATCGGAATGGGAATTGAAATCAGCTGGAATGGAATTTCATTCCCAAGGGAGAGGGAGGGAATGGCCATTATCTCAAATGGGGGAATGCCATTCCACCAGGAATGGGAATGGGATTCCAAGTCTGCCCAACCAAATAGTTGGAATCGGAATGGCCCATTCCTATTCCAATTCCAGACCCCTATTCCTGTGAACCAAACGGGCCCTAAATGAAAGTAAGATTCATACTTTCATAGTATATTCACCTCCTATGAGTTGTAAGGAAGCTAAGAGAAATCATTTCTTTAAAAAGTATAGGAGAGGGAGTTTACAGGAAGTAGCATTTCTTCTATTGCAGAAAGGAAAGCCAAATTCAATGTAGACTCTGGTTTACAATCCTTGAATGCCATAGTAAATGCCTGCAGCGGAAAGGTTTAATAACTTTAATTGTATCTTCAAATATGTATATGTTTTCAAAGGGAACTTCAAGAAAATTGAAAATGAAGATCAAGAATAAAATGACAGGAATGTGATGCAAATACATATTGATTATCAAATCTAAAAGAATATGTTACAGATTAAAAGATTAACACCCAATTAATTGCTGGAACCTGGCAGTGTCATTTCCTTTAAAAGAAACGAAGATGTCATATTCAATACTCAATGTCATCAAGAAGTCCAGATTTTAAGAAGAATGAATTCTGGATAAAGAAGCCAAACCTGTAGAAGGCGCGACTTCCAAGTGTTTGCCACTAGTGATACAAGCCTTGGAATAAATGGAAGTAGTGAAGTTAAATGTTTTTCTTGCAGTGCTTTACCAGACCTTGAATTAAAGCGAATCTGCAAAATAATATTATATAATATCATTAAATCAATGCGTATGATGAATAAACAAGGTTAAAACAGTGAGAATGGGTATAACTAGTAACAGTGATGTAATCACTATTATTTTTTATAGCAAAGGAAAATTTATTAAAAGAAAAAACAATTGTTTTTTAACTGACAAGCATGTAATGCCATGACTTTAACAGGAAAGATGAAGCGTAAGTAGCAGACCTTCCCAGACAGCAGATTTTCTATAAATTCCAGGAACCTTTCCATTAAAATGGCAGAAGTAAAGATCCATTCATTAGAGTGCAGAAAGATTTCTGTAATCTCAATGTTCAAGATAAAGAATTTGTCTTCATCCTGCCATGAGGCAAAAGAATTATCAAAGCAATTGTGTCACTATATAAATGGTACACATCAAACTTGCCAATATTACATGTGAGTGCATTCATGACCCAACAGAAGAAGTTTTAATAAGTTACCAGTATTAGAAGAATAAGTTAGCAGCACTGACCACTGAGAGAGAGGTCTAATCATCAATTCCAATACAGGGGTAAAACTAAAATGCCTGAATAGACAAAGCAACAAGCAAAAAAGACTGCCAATAATAACAGATATTTAAAAAAGGGGGATTTCATTGGTGTTTACTAGCTGGATAGGTGATAAAGGCTTCACTAGTGTAGAAATTTTCATGCCAATTTGGGATTCAGAATGATATTTTCCTTGGGTTATGAGTAGGTAGAGATGGAGGGAGACGCCTGAGTATTACTAAATGGATGCAGATAGCTTTGGACTTTGGAATATACAGAAATTGTTGAAAGTGCATATAAATCCTATGTGTTGGGTTACAATTAAACAGAAATTAGCAACCCAAATGCAAATTGCAAAAATAATAAAGCAGTCTCAGAAAAAGAAATTCACCCACTTTTCCTGAAGTGTTATGAAGTTGGTTAAGGGGAAACACTTCCAAAAATTTCCTCAAAAACACTGGTGTTGCAATCTCTCCCCACACCGGCATATCCTTCTCATTATATGTAGGCTTTGTTACTCCAAAATCTGTTTGATGCTTATCAATCCCATAAAGAAAAAACTTGACTGAAAGATCTATGCTCCGAAGTAAGTATAGCATGCAATCAAATGACTGTGCATCAAGAGATGACATTGGGTGAACTAATGGAATGAAATCTTGGAAACAGTTGACCAAGATAGGCAAAATATCTTCTAGTCTCTTAATGATGGAAGAGAAATCTGCACAAAGAGGAAAAGCGAATGATGCAATCAAACATTGGTATTTTATTTTCAAAGAAAAAATGGAATATGGAATGAAACACAAAATCAAACTGGAAGTTAAATGACAAACCAATATAAAGTTTTCCCTTTAAGATTATAAAAGACTAACAATAACTAGTGCAAGACAATTAAAACATAAAAGACATGCTGCACTGCTTCTAACATTCAAGGATACAAATAACTAAGGCCAAGAGTTAAAGGGCAGGAGTGACAGACAGCAGTAAAATTACTTCTATTACTGGAGAAACTTCAATGCAATGGGAACAAATGTTGAGCAATCTGTAGGAATCAGTAGAAAAGCTATGTATGTTTTTCTTATTATTACCTAACAAGGGCATTGATGTAATTTCATCACATTTAAAGAGCTAAATATATAAAGTTTAAGAGTGGGCCAACTCTTTTTCCCTCTTCTCTTACTCTTTTCTTCTTGTATCCGTCTATTCTTCTTGCTTTCTTCTCTTCAATCACTATTTTTATAATTTTTTAGTGCTAAGACAACCATAAGGTGAACTACTTGAAGACAAAAAGAATAAGAACAATAGGACAGAGAAATGCATAAAAACAAAATGATCAACCTAGAAAAGTCAATATTATATCTGATACTGACCTCCAAGTACAAGTCTAGAAGTTGAGCCTGTAAAGGACAACTATATCCAGCATAATACATTACATCTACCTGAAAGATCCCCCCCCAGGTAGGGAAGCACACACACACAGAGACTCTATAGTTGATGAAAAAAGAAAATAGTCAAAATGGCCTATGATACCAGGACCCTGTACAAGGGTGTCAGATCATGTTGGATACTTCAATTTTTAGTGTAAATATTATATCCGATACCATATGCAGCCATGTCCTTCCTATATCTAGGAAACATAAGCAATACAAGTAACACTAATTCAAATCATGTTGACTTCATAGCAAAAGGGGATAATGTGGACATCAGTGGCTTTCCTGTCAAATGAGCAGCATGGAGAAAGAAGTTACTCAACAAAATTCCTAGACAAAAGAAAATGGTTCTATGAAGGTACAACAGCATGGTTATCTCTTGGCATTTGGTTCATAAGGACTCAGAAGTTGAAACTTAACCTTTTTCTATTTTGGATCTTTATTTGTGCGAGACACTCCTTTTAAGATTGCTTGCATTGACATGGCTCAGTAGCCACAGGGTGGGAGTAGGTGCATGTTCTGTGATCTCTTTAGTGTGTATTTTTTTGTGTGTGTGCATGTGGTGGTTTTTTCTTTTTTTTTTTTTTTTTGGAGGGGGTGGGGGAGGGGGGTTCATTCTACTTGTCTACACTCCATTTTTTGTCTTAACATATTTTCCACTGTTACCAAGAAAACATGAAAATAAATTATGAAAAGTGAAAGAACTATGGACTTCAAGTTGCCACAAACCAGTTCAGTATTCTCTTAATACAACAGCATACATATATCCCGGTGCTTACCAACTAAAAAGTAAAAGAAAGTAGAAGGAAGCTACAGTTGCATACCAGTATGCTCTTTAGGCACCTCAAGCTCATATGCATGCAATGACCCTTGAGTTTCAGTATTCTGAAATGTTAAAGGACATAACAATTAGAAGTAGACAATATTAATTTAAAATTAATGAAACCATGCAAATAAGTGGTCTGGAAGTTCATTAAAGTTTAAGAGAAAATTGATAGGCAAAAAATGACAATATAAACAATATGCAGTGCAGAAAATAGAAATTAAATTATATGAGAATATACTCGCCAAAACAAAATAAAAGCAATGGTAATGAAAACAAGCTTTATGAACCTATTAGAGACTGCCAGTGGAGGAAAAAAACAGTCTTTTGATAGATTCAGGCACACTAGGCTCTAAACTCTAGGTGTGAAGAGCCATTATAAATAAAGAAAGGTAACCACCACAATGCCCATATTTTTTTCATAGGTAGCAAAAGTGGATTTATTAAAATTATAACATAGAAAGACTACAATACAACAGACCAATCCAACTCTTTCTTTTTGATAAGCAACAAAGAAAGATTAATGCAATAAAAAGGGGGAGATTTGGGAAAATCACATTTTTGACAAAGGAGGCACAATCCTAACTATTTTTGATAAAGGGGGCACACCCCTTGTCCTTATGATTTGCTGGAGAGTTATGTAATTTAAGAATCGTAGTGGTACCCACTGATGTGGGTTGATAACATGGGTTTGGGGAGGGTGATTGGCGGTGAGAGGTGTCGTCCACTCAAGGAGATAGCTAGGGAGCCGAAAGGTCAGTTCGACAAAGGAAAGGAGATTGAAGATGAAGACAATCCTGGAATTTTAGAATGTAATGCTTGGGGGGGGGCTCGACGGGGAGAAGAGTTAATGAGAAGGGTAAAGTCTTGAAGTTTTGTGAAGGGAGTGGGGCCTATTTGAATGAAAGGGTGGGTATTCTTAATCTAATTGCTAAAAATGATGATGTGCCATGCGAAACAAAGGGACATGTGATTGATAAACTTGAGAAGAGGGAGGAAGAGGACTCGGGAGTTGAAGTTAGCTCGCAAAATATTTCCAACTTTTTAAGTTGGGCCACGTGACTTGTTGAAGGTTTGAGTGAGGACTATTTTTCAAGGAAGTGGTTTTTTGGGCCTCAGAGAAACAACCGTCTGGGTAGGTTACATGTTAACATGATGTTTGGCCTCTCTTTTAAACATCTTAGGTTCAAAAGGTTGGGGTGTCAAACAGATCCAGGCCGCTTAAGCTTTGAAGAATTAAGGTGGACAGGATTTGGGTGGCTTTCGAGTTCGACAGATCAGGTAGGAAGAAGATTATTTGGCTTGACATGAAGGAATATACTGATCTCAAGAACATCAGAAGTGATGTTTCACTTTCACTCGAATGTTCTCCAGGCCCTGGTAACCGTGTTGATGCTGAAAAATAGAGAATCATGCGTCTTCTGATGCTGAGATGGTTAAAGCTCGAACGACTAGGGTTGGCGGTTCTCCTCCGGTCACAAATCTGCTGTGTGACTCAAAGGAGAAAGCAGAAGGTGTGGAGCCCGGGTTGGAAGGAGGAGTATTGGAAGATGGAAAGGTGGAAGAGAAGGGTGAGAACTTCAAAGCGGTCAAAGGTGTCATTGAAAGGGAAATAGTTGTTGTTGCTAGAGATAAGGGTGATAATCTCCTCCTGTTGAAAACTCTTTAGTTAAGGAAGTTGTGATTAGCAAACTTGGGGTGGAGGTGGGGCGCAAGAGGAAGATAGAAGAAAAAGACAAGGTGGAAAGTAAGGAGATGGATTTGAAGAAACCTCGTAACTCAAGCAAGCTCCATTTAGTTCATGTGAAAAAGGTGTTCTTGAGATTGAAACTTGGGGTCATTGGGGTAGGTCCAACAAAAAGGTACAAGAAGGTTTACAAGAAAAGAGGAGTGAAGAAAGAGTTGAATTCAGAGGTTCATGGGGGGGAGGGAGAGGGGGGGGCCATCTTGATCTACTCAAGTCAAGATCTCTAAGGGTTGACTCAACTCAAGAGGAAAACAAAATTGTGGTGAAAGGAATGAGATGACCTGGAGAGATGCCAACCATAGTTTAATAAAGGTGGAAAAGATTGAAGCTTTGCACCTTGAGAAAAAATTGTAGAAAGAGGCGCTCAGGTGGGGAAAAAGCCTTGGTTTGTTCTTTTGGGGTGGAGAGGAGTTTGCTAGAAAAGCGTTTGAGAAGTTTGAGAGGAGTAGAAAGGAAGAGCAGATGAAGAAAAATGTAACAGGGGAGAGAGGAGAAATTTGGAATGAAGATGATGTTGGGCAGGAGGTGTTTGAGGGGGAGGATTAGTGGCGGTTGAAGGAAATTTGGTTCTTTGAGTCAGTGTGTTCCACTGGGGGGTGTCTACATACTTTTTTATTGTTATACAAGAAGTTCATGCTTTTAAAGGTGTTCATGCTTCAAAGCAGCTGAACCAGCTTAGCTGAATCTTCAGCTCAGCCCTCTCGAACAGCGCCTCAGGTTTCAGACTAGGCCTGACTCCAGCTTGGGTTGAGGTCTCAGGTAGCCCAAGCCCACCCATCTGGTAACTATAAATTGCATTGACTAAAAGAAAGAAAATATGTACAAACAGCCATGTAGCCCAATCGTAATATCATCACCAGAACATTTTAGTTATATTGGAGCTTAGAGCCTTAGATGTCTGCCCCAATTTAAACATAAATTCCCCCAAGGATAGTACACCCTCTTTAGCCCAGGTATCAAGGAGCCCATTTCCTGATCTATGCAGCCAAAAGTATGTGATGCTCGCATTCCTTTTTGCAGATTTAATCTCTCTCATGGTATTCCTATAGTTCAAATTTCCTTTGCTGCCACCTCTTATTCATCCCATTACTACTCTAAAATCCTCTTCTATTTTCACAGTGCGAGTCCTAATGTTTTGCCCAGTCTGAAGATTTTGTATCAAATACCAGCTTGGAAGATTTTGTACTTACAAAGGAGCACATCTCCATCAATACCAGGAAGAAATTTCCATATTGGCCCTTAAACCATCCCTCTCCTCCAATAGAGCAAAAGTTGCAGGGTATTATGATACCAATCCTCTAATTTGTGAAATTGAAGGACCTGAGCCTCCCTTCTGCCAAAAAATACTCCCAATTTCACTTTTCATTTTTTTTTCTTTTTCTTAAGTTAAGGTGATAAGTATGCACATCATATACAATGTTTCCGAAATCATAATTGTATTGTAAATTGTAAAGAAGGGTGAACCAAATCGAGTTGAACCATCATAGAACATAAGATTATCTCCACTTCAAAACTTTTGAGAAATTAAAAGCATATATGTAAAAAAAAAAAAAAAGAAAACTTAAAACATATATAGGAAAGTAGTTTTACCCCATTTTTTATCTGCATCTGCTACATATGTACTTAATACAACAGAGTTCATAACTTGCACACTAGAAGGTAAGATGATATAATTAAGTTTAATTTAATTAACACACAATGGCTCTTAAGTCTTAACCTACTTATAATGGGAAATAAACTCGATAAGGTTTCCAAAAAGGTCCTCAATAACCTAAATAAGTCTTACACTAGTAATGGTTTTACCATTTTAAACAAACTGAAAAAAAAAAAAACAAAAAAGGGAATGCAAAGTAGAAAACTAGGTTTCTATTGAAATTATTTTTATATTAGTGATCAGAATCTTTATTAAAGAAAATAAAAAAAAAAGTACAATCAGAGTTATGCCAAGCACCTCTTTTTAATATTGGGCTAGCTGCAACTAGTTAGTTCATCTCCTAGGGATTTGAATGTAATAAGCAATTCCCTAACCAGTTGTTTTCTTTCATAATGTATTTGTAAGTCAAAGAACCAGTACTGCTGCTTTTAAGCGAATCTACAACTATTGACAAGTCCCTTTCCACCACAACATCTTAGTAATTAAGAGTTTTAGCAGGTTTTAGTCCATGCTACACTACTAACAATTCAAACCCTGTTGAGTCTCCATGACCTATTGGTCCAGAAAAAAGAGTTATGATGCATAAAAAATTAAAAAAAAAAACAATCAATTACTAGGATATATCCTTCACTGTTTATAAAAACTGCACCTATGCCTGAAAATCCAGGGTTGCCCAAGTATCAGCCATCAAAATTTTGTTTGATGAGGATAGGGGCTGGAGGGGACAAATTTGAGGGTGTGCTGGTCCTAGCATCATCTATAGAAATGGGGCAAAGATGCTCACAATTTTTACCCAATGTGCCTCCTTCATAGAGATGTTTTCAATGATATTCCTTTAGTTCGGGGCTTGTCTTTAAATGTTATAGCATTCATCTCCTCCCAAACTTTCCACAAAATTGCAGCCCATGTGCACTTCTACAATAACTTCCCTTCTTAGGTGAAGAGAAGAAAGAGGCCTTACAAAGACTTCCTACATCCTCGAAGGAGTCCAACTACATCCAAATGGTGAAAAGAAAATTTCTCAAATACGAAATACATATGTACAAGATGAGCCAAATGCCAGTTAAATCTTCTCCTTTTAAGGGTCTCAGAAGTATTCATTGTCAACTGTTTACCTCCAAAAAAACACGTCTTAAGAGGTACTGCTCAACAAGAAACAATAGGATTCTTTGATCAAATTCTACAATCAGATATTCAGATTTGGACTTATCAAAGAAATGCCAGGCGAATGACATCAAGAGTTTCTCTTAGGCCTCTCCACAATCCTACATCCCAAGAAAAGACCATATTCTGAGAAAGAAACACATCAGGATACATGCTTGTCTTTGTAAGGGGAAAGAGAAAAACCATTGACTAACACAAAGGCCAATAAAAAGGATATGAATTCCAAAGTGCCACTCACAAGTAATACAATCAACCTGAGCACCCAGATGTTCTAGAATATCAATTTGCAAATGAGAAAAGAAAAAAAAAATGGCATTCTCAAAACAACAAAAAGAACAAAGGAAAAAGATTATTGTGCAACCCAGAAAGTAGTAGTTAGTTTTCATCGTTAGTAGGAGGTACTTTTTTTTATGAATGATAATAAATTTATTTATTCAGAAGCAGATTTAGTAGGAGGTACTTTTCCATATGATGGATCCACAGTTCTCCTATTACATGGTAACAGTGATAAGCAACGAACCAACCCAACAAGAGCATTCTTGAGCTTGCTCCTGTCCTGTAAATAGATATGGTTCTTACGTAAAATATCCTCATAATTCTGGAGAACCTGTTGAATGAAGAACAATTAAAGAAATTTGTCAAAAAGCATACACCAAAAATAAAAAGAAAATGAAACATTGATGCAAAACCAATAAATTAAATTAACTCCATTCACCATAAGAAAATAGACATATATGAACCTTCAAAAGATTTAGATTACTAAACACATAACTAGCAAGCCAGAAAATGAAACAAGGATCTAAGCCAATACCCAGTCCCACCAAGACTCTGGCATCAACAATGGCAAGGCAGATAAAATATAGCCATCTCTATATTTCTCATCTTCAGTACACTGATGACACCCTTATTTTCCTGGATGCCTCAGTGGACCAGGTGCTGAACCTTAGGCTATACTGGCTAATTTTGAAATGCTAACAGGTTTGAAAGTAAATCTGGCCAAGAGTATGTTGATTGGGGTGGGGTTTGTAAGGAGGGAGGAGTTGGATCATTTTGCTATGGTGTTTGAATGCCAAGCTGGAAGGTTGCATTTCCTTTATTTGGGTTTGCCAGTGGGATCTAAAGCTTCTGCAGTTGGGATTTGGAGGCCAATTGTTGAGAGGATGGAGAAGAGGTTGGAGAGCTGGAAAGCAAAATACCTCTCATTGGGGGGCAGAATCACTTTGATTAGAAGTGTTCTGTCACGTTTATACAAATTTATTACCTCTCTTTTTTGAAGATTCCAGTAAAGGTGGCTGAAAAACTTTGAGAAACTTCAGAGAGATTTTTTGTGGGAAGGGGTAGAGGGAACAAAGAAATTGCATCTGGTGAGACAGTGAATCATCTATTAATCTCCTGTCCTTTTGTAACTCATATCTGGGAATGGTTCTCTTCTCTCTTTGATTGTAAGTGGACTCCTCCCTCAAGTGTGGTGAATCTTTTTAACTCTAGTTTCTTCCAACAACCAAAGAAGAAAGGAAGGGTGATGTGGAGAACAATGAGAGCAGACATTATTTGGGAAGTTTGGGCAGAGAGAAATAACAGGAGTACAAAGCTGCTGCCCAGGACCAGTAGAGGACTTTGTAAAGGGTTGGAGGGAGGAAGGACTGAATAAAAGAGGAAAATTAATCTGGAATATAACCCCAGCAGTGGTATTCTGGTGTCTTTCACCAGAAAGAAATGCACGGATCTTCAAGAGCAAGATAAGTTCTGCTGATTCCATTTTTCAGAAAATTGTGGGGAAGATGTTCTCTTGGTTGTCTGGTCACAGATTGTTTAAGGATGTAGGTTTTGAATCCTTTTTTGTACAGGATAATCTTTTTGTAAAGCAAGGTGGGGATCAAGGTTAGAGAGAACAGTTTTTTTTGTTTCCATAGTACATCATCTTGCTGTACATTGTTTATTCATTCTAATACAATGATAATTTACCTTCTCAAAAAAAAAAGGATTTTCCAAGGGCAAGAAAAAACATTGCTTCAACTTATAGAAGGCATCACCTTCAAGGCCATACATTGGCTGAAAACTATGGACCTCTTCAAGGATTTCTCTATAGATCATTTGCTCAGAGAATGGAACATAGTAGCAGGTTTCTCCACTCCTCCTACCATACTTGAGGACTGGACCCCTCCTTTACAGCATTCTGTGAAATTGAACTTTGACGGCAGCTCTATAGGCAATCCTGGTCCTTCTGGAATTGGGGGTGTGTTTAGAGATGTGGAAGGAAGAACCTTCGCCCTTTTCTCTGACCCAATAGAAGTGGGTGGCTCACTAAGGGCAGAAGTAATAGCACTCTTTCAAGGGCTCAGATTGACTAAACAATTGGGATTTTAACATTTAGAAGTGGAGGGGGATTCAAAATTGGTCGTAGGCTGGATGCAAACAAATAATTTGGGCACTTGGTTTAGACACCATGTAAGGGAAATAATAAACTTGACAAGGGAGCTTGGAGCACAGTTTAATTGGGTTAGCACACGGTTTGGTTGATGTTTTAACAAAGCAAGGAATGGTTAATAGGGAGACTTTATTTTGGGCATGTTTGTAATTTGTAATTTGATTATGTTATGAGGGGTCACCTTATTTAAGAAGGTGACAATTGTAATTCTATAATTTCCAAGCTTAGTGAAAGTTACTGTTTCCTATCAAAGATAATATGGAGCTGTATCCCTTTTGCTGTATTCTGGACCCTCTGGAACGAAAGAAATAGAAGGCTATTCGAAGACTAGTCTAAGAACATCAAATCATTGGTGACTGTGGTTGGGAAGAAAGTGGCCGATTGGGTTGGGTGCTTCCAGATTTTGCCCAACTTAGTAAATCAGATTTGAGGGAAAATTTTTGGAAGTACTTGAAATTCAGATGTCATTCCTGTAGTTTTTCTGTTTCAGTTGTTTGTATGGTGAGGTGCCAACTTGTCGCCTCTTGGATTGTATTTCTTTCTTTTTTTTAATGAACTGTCTCTTTTTACTCTACAAAAAAAAAACGAAAAAACAAAACAAACAAACAAAACAAACAAACAAAACAAGCAAACAAAACAAACAAACAAACAAACAAGCAAAGGCCATTACCCAGTGTTGATCCCAGCTATCTGGGTCTTGGGAGAAAGAAGTAGACTGGATATGGACCTAACATTTGGCTTTTATTTATTTATTTATGTTGCACAAAGAAGCCTCTATCAGACTTGCACATAGTACACTAACAAGTAACAAATTTCCATAAAATACTATGGGAATGACGTGTGTACCTTTTCAGCATACATGAAAAATGAAGATGGATAATGCTGGACAACAAGATCAAAAAATTTGAAAGCCATCAACCGTATATCAGTTGCTAAATGTGTCATTCCATTAAATATATAGGCCATCATCAATGAGATTAAGGATCCTGGAACATCCTAGAATGAAGAAAACGATAAGAAGCAATTAGTATGGGCAAAAATGTTAGTTTTACAAAAGGAAAAAGGAAAAGAAAAACAAATTTTAAAGAATGCTGAGAGAGAGGACATTGCATTTGTTACTCCTGTAAGAAACAAGGCATTGAGATGAAGTGACAAACCAATTGGCTCCCAAGATGGCATGAATTTAGATTAGGAAAAAAATCATATATCAACATCAAAAATAGCCCCCAACTATAGTGAAATTAAACCCATGGTTCAAAGTAACGATATGCCTCTGTATCGGCAGAGGTGTATCGGTACTTAGATACAAGCGGAAATGGCTTTTTTTTTAGTTTTTTTTTTCAAATTTTGGTTTTTGGGAAGATATTTTAACATATTTTTTATTAAAAAAGAGTGGGGTCCCGAAATACCTGTAAACAGGCGTTTCAAACCCCAAAAGATACGATACGATACGATACGCCCGATACAGGGCATATCGTATCGATACTTTGAACTTTTTTAAACCTAGCAATTTTAATCAGGGACTTTCCTTGACTTGACCTGCAAGTCCTCCAAGACTCAAACCAATTTGGTTGCACACGCATATGAGTGCATGTTATTCCCAGCTCCAACAAAATATTAAGTCACACATTCTATATTCTTATTCAGCCTATAGGAGAACAGATAGAGATGCAGATCCCTTTTCAATCAACAGTTTGAAAACCAAACCAGGCATCAAAATGGAAAGGCATCCAGTTCAACTTATCTCAATTGGTTCAACTGTGACATCAACATCATGTCATAAATAGACTAATAAAAATAAAAATAATAAAACATCAAAAAAGGAACTGAGAAAAGAAAAAACTGCTTGAAAAGTTTTCAACCTAGATTTTAATAGTTTGATTAAGGCAGGAGTTAATATGGGAAGCCTGGAATGGGATAGCCCAGGCCCAGATGGGGCTTTTGCAAACCTTTGCTGTACTTGCCATGTATGTAAAAATGGAATGTTGGTCAAGCTGTCTGTATATTGTACATTACCTCCACTCTTGTGGAGAGGATTCTTTTGCTCACAAATAAAATCCATTATTGTTGACTATCAAAAAATACAGTTTTTTAACTATAGTTTCAGCCATTCACATTTTGAAACTGGAAAGGGTCCTGCTTCTGGTTGAACATTTTGTTCTACTTCTTCCAGAACAATCATAAACATTTCTTTGAAGTTGGATCATTTGATCTACCCAGAAATCCAATGCATGATTTATATGTGCTAGGTAGCCAGCTGCAACATAAATCAACCCTGGAAGTTGTGACTGACAAATTAAAACCTTTTTATCTATATGCATCCTTCTGATTATAAAATTACTGTGCTACCCTTTGATGGAAATGTACACTATATTCAGCCTACAGTGAACAGATAGGGGAGAACAGTCCCATTTCAGTGACCCCAAGGCATTCTGCTGCAACAAAGATCAATCTTATAAGTTAAGCTTAACAGGCTTAAAACCTTTTTTATCTGTACATCCTTTTGACATAGATAATTGGTGCCTGACCTACTGAATGTAAGAGTACTGTGTGGTGCATGTTCACCAGAAGTACAGATATGCCACTTGTATACAAATCTTGCATGGTTGCACCCTGTAAGAGAACTCATTCATAGTCATTCACTCACTGCGACATTGGAAAACCATGTGCTTAAAATATTTCAATGAGTCATAAAGCATCTTTTTTCTTTCTTATTATGCCAATGAGCCTTAAAGAATTTTTTTATTTATAACATGATAAGCATTAAAGCTCTTTTATTATCAGTGAAAACCTTTTTCATTAAAAAATAAAAACAAATGAGAAAGAGTAAAAAGAGAACAGAGGGGAAAAAAAGAGAGAAACCAGACCATAACCAATCTACCAGAAGGGATTTCCCTTGAATCAATCAGTTACATCATCATAAAAGTTCATTCCTCCCCAAAGGATTGCAGTCCCCAAATATAATGCTTCCATATGTTAACCTGATCTGCCAAGACAGCCAACTAATCCATTTGCTATCTCCTTATCCAAGTAATAGATATTCAAGGTCATTACCATTTCACTTTTGAAGAGCCAAGTGATTCACCAATCACCATAATGATATGTTGATTCCGCCATTCAAAAGGAAAAAAAATACAATGGCCAATTTCAAAATTATCCATTCAAATCTCAATTAGGGATAGTCAATGTACTCCCCAGCATCGGAGATCAATAAGTTTGTCCTCTATGGAACATAAACTTTTGTATAAATACTTATGGAAGAAAAGATGTTGCATGTTACCTTTTTCAATGCAGGGAAAATCACTAATTTCAGGAGCTGATAGAGTGTCTCGCGGACAACTTTGTCCTCATCACTAATGCGTTCACGCAGCTTCTCTATTATGGCAAGTTTGTGTAATGTCAGCTCTGCTGGGTATTTAAGCACCAAATCCCTAATACCAGTCAACGCATCTTGATCAAACAGAAAAACACTTTGTCTCAGCATCATAGACTCTTCAGTTAGTACAAGGGTACAAACCAATTAGTGGAAGCAAAATCTAGTCAACAAATCATGAAATAATTTTCTTTTAAATGTTGTTTGGCCTACATTACACAAAATGCAACAATTGGGAGACAAGCACCAATTTAGTATTTTCTTTTGCAACAAATCACCCATGCTGATGCTTTCATGATAAGCTTCCCAGCAGAATGCACTAACTTTTGGGGGGACATGGGCACACCAGACTTCTTTAACAAGGAAGGAATGGAAAGGAGTAGAGGCTACTAGTGAAGAGAAAAAGGATTTACAAGTGAATGTCCCAGAGGGACTGAGATTCCACACACGTCTATCTTCCCTGGGCTCATCAAAAACCAAGTTGTTCAAGATATTCAAAAGGTTAGACACAAAGGGATTTCAAATCCTCTCAGGTTTCTCACGAGCCCCAAGTTCCAACCTTCCCTGGGGGAAGAAGACAACCCAAAGAAATTAGACACAAGATTGTATTTAATACTTGAAACCACTTTATGCCACAATCTGTCATTGTCTGGGGGGAAGCGCAGTGCTTTTCTTCCTAATGTTTCCCAGACCCAACCTACCCTCTTCCTTCCATTTGACCACCTTCTCCCACCTAACCAAATGATCTTTTTTCTATCTCCAAGCTCTCACAAGAAGTCTCTCATCAATTTTTTTATTCCCAAGGTGGATTTGATCAAAGTAATTCTCCCCCATAAAGAGATGTAATTCCTTTTTCCAACCAGCAAGCCTTTTCTCAATTCTCTCCACCACAGGGTTCCAAAAGCTAACAGACCTCGGATTGCCACCAAGAGGTAAGCCTAAATATTTTAAGGGCCACACACCTCTCTCACACCCCAAGATCTCTGCAAATGAGCCCAACTCCTCTTCAATAACATTTATACCCACCACCACACTCTTATTCTAATTGATTATTAAGTTAAACATTCTTCCAAAGCGGCTAACCACTAGCTTTAAGACTTCAATCCCATTTGTATTTTCCCCCTCACAAAAGATCCAAATGTCATCTACAAACTGGAGATGGGATACCACCACACTATTCCTTCCAACCTCCTAACCTTTAAAGAGATGCAACTGGCTAGCCTTAAAACTCAATCTAATCAGAACCTCTACCACCAAAAGGAAAAGAAAGGGAGAGAGGGGCTCTCCCAGTCTAAGCCCTCTAATGGCTTCAAAAAACCCTCCAGGCCTTCACTGACTCGTTCACAACCACTGAAAAATGACTAGTTTGTAGGCAGCCTTTGATCCACTTGCACCACAAATCTCCAAACCCATAGGTCCTCATAATACTAATTAAAAACTCCCAATCTGCCAAATCATAAGCTTTCTCCAGATCCAACTTAATGGCCACCCCATTTTTCTTAGCTCTTCTCTGGGCCTCCACACATTAATTAGCAATAAGAATTTGGTCCACAATATGTTAATCCTAAATAAAAGCCCCTTGGTAATGAGAGATGATCGAAGTAAGAACTTGCTTGATCCTCAGAGATAACACCTCGGTGATTATTTTATAAATGCTAGTAACCAAGTTGATTGGCCTGAAATCCCTCGGATGATCTGCACTGGCCTTTTTTGGCACCAAGGTGATAAAGGTTGAATTCATTCATGGATTAATTATACCCTTCCTATGGAACTCTTTAAACACTCTAAGAAGATATGGCTTAATAATCTCCCAACAATCTTGATAAAAAGCCATTGTGAAACTATCCGGGCCCAGAGCCTTGGATCTAACCATGGCAAATATTGCTTCCTTAATCTCATCTTCCTCAAACCTCTTTTTCTAAAAGTTGGTTCTAGAAGGCATCAATAGTTTCCCAATTCAACCCTTCAACTGTTCATCTTTCTCTCAGAGGCCTTAAATAAATTGATTTAAAGTGATCCACAAAGGCCTTAGCTATCTCAGCTTGATCGGTGGCTTCTCTACCCTCAATTTCAAAACAAGAGATAATATTTTTCCTTCTTCTACCATTTGCAATTGCATGAAAATACTTAGCATTACCATCTCCCTCCCTATTCCATTTCTTCCAAATTATTTCCTCCCTTAATAGAGTTTCTTGGAGTTCCTTCTTCAACTGAAACATTAATCTTATGAGTTATGTCTTCCTCTCTCAAAAGGCCCTTCTAATTCCCTTCTATCTATGTCCTCAATTTGTAGAATTAGAATTGTGTCCTTCTCTTCTAGTCTACCAAAAATCAGCTTAGTCCATTCTTTTACTTTTGCCTTCAACCTCTGTAACTTCTTCATAAATTTCTGCCCCTCCCATTCCATCCTCAATTGTTGTTCACTCCACCATTCCTTCACTCTTTGTTTGAATACAAGAAGTGTTAGCCACATGTTCTCAAACCTAATAGGGGTAGGGCCACCAACCACTCCTTGTTGAAAGACACAAATCAGCCAATGGTCAAAGACTCAAAGGTAAGTCTAGGCAAAGTTCTCCCTAATAAACCACTCCAATGCTCTTCACAATCAACTAAGACCAAGAATCTGTCCAATTTAGAACAGATCGGATTAGCTTGAAGGATGGACCAAGTAAATCTAGATTACCCCAGAGGTATGTCTCTCAAGTCAAAAGTATCAATAAAAACATTGAATTTCATCATGCTGGTTGTTACTCTCTGCCTAGTATGTTCATTTCTTCTGCAAATCTTACCACATTAAAATCACCGCCAATAAACCAGGGCCCTTCCCATAAGCCCCTGATATCAACCAACTCTTCCCACATTAGGTTTCTTTCTCTGTACCAATTGGAACCATAAACATTTGTTAACACCCATTCAAACCCATCGTGGACATTTTTCAATTTAACCAGGAAACTGCACCCAAAATGCTCTTTAAGTTATTTGGTTCTTAGACCATAACATTTATTGTTTTAAGCTTATGTTGATTAAACTCAGTGTTTTAAAAGCGCAAGGCGCAAAAAAGGCGCAGGGGTCAATTTGCACCTGAGGTGCAGGGCGCAAGGCGAGGCACGTGCCTTTTTTATGCAAGGCACAAAAAATTTAAAAAAAAATAAAAATAAGTCAAAATATTCAAAAAAATGCCAAAAAAAATCAAAAAAAGTAAAAATATTAAAAATAATATTAATAAAAATATGAAGTAAAATTTTAAAATAATGTTTTAAAAAACCTATTATCTAAAATTAAAATACATAAACATAAGATGTAGAGCATATTCAAATGAGAATTTAAAAATAAAATCAAACATATAAAACACTTTCAAGCATGTAAAACCTCTAATTTCTTTTTTCACTCAATTGCAGTACTTCATATAGCTAATGTAATGTAAAACATATTACATTCCTGATTCTACGAGCCAGCTTTGTGCCATGCCCCTCGAGGCAAGCCCAAACAAGCCCATGTTAGGTCTTAAATTCTTAGTTTTAACACAAAAAAATAATGATTTTAGTTTTATTTGCTTTTTAAGAAGACATTTTATTAGGATGAATGAATGAACAATATTACCAAACTGGGGGTTCTTGGAGGAGCATGGCACAGGGGTCCGGGGGCAGAGCCCTCGACCCAGCCATTATGTTCAAAAAAAAAGCAAAAAAGAAAGGGCTGCGCCTAAGACCTAGGCGAGGCGCATACCCTGAAGTGTGCCTCGCCTGTGCGCCTGAGGCGTGCCTTTTAAATCACTGATTAAACTATCTTTAAAAGATAACCAGGAACTATATGCCTTTTTTGCATAGCAAGTTAAACAGTTGAACCATTCAACTGGTGACTGGGTAACCAAAACGGTTTTGCATCGAGTCTAAGTTTGATGGCATTGCTAAAACTGTGAAGGAAAGAAGCTGCAACCATACACAGAAGCCTTTATAACTCAATTCAGCAAGCCCATTAGCCATAGAAGTGAAATTCCTTGAAACCCAGCTGTTCTGACTTCTGAGCTAATGAGTTGTCTTTTCCTTGTTTTTTTAAGAAATTAGCAAGTCTCCATGGACCTTCTCCCATATTTTGCTCCATCCAATGGCATTGACCTAGTCTCCCTGATGAACAACTAAAATAAGTATTTCTGCCTGGTCATCTGCAACATTATAAGGACAGACATGACCTTGGCTTTTTTGTGGAATCAACATCCCAATCAGCCTTACATCCAAATAATGGCTCCCTCCCAAGTCCTGACCTAAAATAGCTCCAGCTATACCAGCATCCAACGGGTTTTATGAGAATTGTCTGATGTGCTTCCATCAAACTGCAGCCTCACCTCATCTTTCACAAGGGAGGCCTACAGATAAGAACACGGGAGAGGATGCAAGAATTTCCTCTATATCTTCTGAGATCATCTTGTCACATTCCATTAAATCCTTTGGAATTTGAGACCCATCAACTTGAGAGGGAAAGGAAAGGGCCCACCTTCTATGAGATTCAATCACAAAGTATAGAAAACCAAACCACGGTATCTTGCAACAATCACAAGAATGGTGTTTTGGACCTCATCTCAATACAAGTGTCAAGTGTACTATTTTTGAGAAAATGTATGTATTTGTGTAACTGATGGTTTGTATAAACAATTCTATCACTTCATTACCTCCCTAACAACTTAAACAAAAATAGAAACCAATAAATGTAAATAAGTTTCCCTTTACACTGCCATAAGTAAAGATTAGGGGCAATGATAAATACCTCTGCGAACTTTGGCATTATGATGGGATGTTTGCTGAAGTAATTCCTTTAACGTCAACCCTTTTTTACTCACAGCTAAACCTGCCCTCTCCGATGCCACACTTTGTTCGGGAAGAATAATTGCTGCTCATTCCACATGAGTCCAATAAAAACATTTGTTATCAGGCCAGATAACGTGGAAAGTTACAATATTAAGAAATGGTTCATCCAGACATAATCACTTCGAGTGCAAAAACAACGTCCTCAAACTGGGGATCAACGTACCTTTAGATTTGATTTCAGTATTGGTAGCATTCTTGGGCGGTGGTAGTTTCCGACCAATCTTCCGTTTTATTTTCTGCACAAATTTACAGGAACAAATATGAATATAATGTCTTAATGCCTTGCTAAATGAACAGAATTGAGCAGGAAATTACTTTGAAGTCCACGCCTCTCTTCGGTTGCTTCTTAGACGAGGACGGCTTAGAACGTGCCATATCTTCTGTGCTGAAGTAATACCAGCAAAATAAATTGGATCGAAAAAAATATCGACTAACGAATGAAATACAATAATTTTAGAGGGAGCCAATCGTTCGCCGTAGTTTATGATGATTAAGATCCTAAACAACGTTTATCATATTATAATAAGAGCATCCTTCAAAAGCCAAACCACCTGTAGAACTGTAATTTCTTAAGGCAAAAACTCCCGAACACAGCTCCATTGAGTGGAACAAATAAAACCCAAGGAAACAAACTTGCAGCAGAGTAGGGTTTTACCCATGCGAACAAATTACTCGATATTAGACTTAACAGGAGCTAGATTTTCAATGGAAGAAACTCACTTCGATCGCCTTCTCTGATGACGAAATGCAAGCGAGGGATGATATAAATTTAATCACCAAGTTCAGTTCAGCGTGACAAAAAAATTCAAAAAAAAAAAAAACAATTTCGCTTCTATGGAGTAATTTGTCTCCTTGGCTTTCAATGAACAACTCGTGGATCCACAACCATCCCGTCCAGAAATCTTGTGATGCGCATTCTAAATGTCCTTTCAGTTCCTATTCTAATTACCTCTTTCTTCTTCCTTCCCTTTTAATTCTACCACAAGATTCACTCACAATCCAGTTGCTAGAGAGGATACTATACTCAACAAAGAGTTACAGTTGCCTTTTTATGCAAATCCTTGATACAACTCGTCAATGATGAAAGAGAGAATGAGAGCGTAGTTCTTCTCTCCGGTGTCTTGAAACTACGGTTTTGGAAGATGTCTTTGCTTGGTTAAGCATCGTCGAGTTTCGTAAATACGAGAAGTTGGCGGCAATCGCGTAGTAGATAGATTCTCGTCTTTAGTTAGGGTTTACCGGTTTAGTAAATGGGATTCTTGGCGATGGCGGTGGCGGAACTGCGGAACCAGGTCATGAACCGGGTCTCTTTAGTATGGTTGGTTAACTATGTGTTTGATTCCGTTTGTGATTATTGGGTGGGCGTTTATCAGAAAAACGTTTATCTAGTAAACGCCTATTTTAAACGTTTTCCACTTTGTTGTTTGGTTAATTTTAATTTGGGCGTTTCAATAAACGTCCCTTTACACTTCGGCAATAATAAATGTTTTTTCATTTCATGCTGTTGGTAGGGTGTTTCAAAAAAAAGCCATATGAATATTTCAATGTGATACTTTTATTGTGGTGTATGGGATACATTAGTCAATCCAACTGTCTAAATTACATATGCTTCAATTTAAAGACTGATTTTCAGATCCAATGGCTAATATATGATATAATCCACATCCAACGAAAGGTGAATATACGACACTTTCACTTTGACTCTCTCTCTATATATATATCTTCTTTCCAACATTTTATCGGACCACTTATCTTTTTTCTTTTGAATAACAAATATACCATTGACAAGGTAGATCAATTTGGGCTTGGCTTGGGCCAGCCAAAGCCCAAATTTAAGTAAATTTCACATCCCAATTTACTACTCTCTCTCTCTCAATTGCATCCAATAAAATTAATAAAAATAAAAGCACAAGATCCTTATATATTCCATACTAACAAGTTTGCAATGTTAGTAACAAGTCATATAAGTTTTTGTATATAAGCCTACATCATTGTGAAATCTATTCAGTTTTCCTTTCCGTACATAGTTAAACTCAAAAAAAGTCTACACTACTAGACAGGTTCCATATTTTTATGATTTTTATTTCATAAGATAAGATGGAATAAAAGAACAACCTAGGTATCAAGCCAAGGTTTATAAGTTAGTATGCCTTGCTGCCTTAGGCCAAGGTATGCTAAAACCAAATTTAGAAGCCTTAGTCTTGTTCTTGTTCTTCCCCCACCCCTAAGAGAGTTATTTGTTGTGTTAGTTACAGACTTCGGATTGCTTTACAGGCAACTTTTGTTTTACCCATTTATGCAAATTGGTTATTTTATTAGAATGACTATTAACTTCTTAAAATAAGAGAAATAGATGAGGGAAAGTTCATATGAAGTTTCACAGCTTTAATGTATATGGCACATAATCAGTATAGTTTGCATTGTGACCAGAATTTTAAGATAGCTGGACTGCAATCAACCTCAGAAATCTGAATTGCAAAGAGAAATCATAGAGAAAATAGGGAGAAAACGAAGACCTTCTTACCGGCGGCAGCTGCTCCTCCCTTCGGCGAAGAACCCTCTCTCTTATCGTCACTGGACTGGGTGTTCTCCTCTGAGGCGGCGAAAGACTTCTCTTTGGTGCTTTAGCATCTAGGTCATCCAGTGAGCAAGAAGATATCCACCTTTAGAATGGTAGATTCGGGTTGCACCGGATCACCACCTCTGGACGACACGTTAGAAGCCACATCGAATACACGTCAGCTCATCGTTTCATGAAATGCCCAGGCATTGGAGGAAGCGAGAAATTTCCCCCAACGGCTATATTCACGAAAAACCAATGCAAATAAATACATAAACGTTTATTTGCATTTTTTTAATAAATGCACATACCAAACAATGATTTTTGAGCCAAAAATCGTTTATCCCACCAGTATATATGGCGTTGTTTTTTCAATAAACGTAAACAGTTCCAAACATGCCCGGTTGATGTTTCCAACTTCCAAGCTTTGCATTTGCAAGCCCGGCCCGCAAATTTTCGGGTTCGAAGCGAGGGACATACTCCCTATCCTATCCTCGACCCCGGTTTCCATCGGAAAGAAACATAAACCCTCATCCCGATCTTTGACAAGAGTTCAAATTAGCCTCTCACAATGAGGTGCCCTACATCGTCCCACAGCACATCCCGGCTGTGTATTTGGAACATTATCCGATCATATTACGTGAAATGATGAGCCACTATTAGGAGATGTTCCCAATACGTGGTTGAAATGTGTTGTGGGACGTTTGTGGGGTGCCTCCATGTAGGGGAGCTGACGTGAATTCCTTGGACATGATTCCAATTCTTTTGTTTTATTTTTATTTAAAAAATTTCATTGAACAAATTTTATTTTAAAAAATAGGATAAATTATAAATAGGTAACTTATACTTTGGGGATAGTAACATATAGGTACCCTGAACTTTCAATTGTGACATTTGAGTACCTTGAACTCTCGGAAATAGACACCTAAGTTCATCTGTTAGTATTCCGTTAGTTATCCATAACACGCAAAGTCATGTGCAACTTTGAATATTACAAAATATCAAAACTACCCTTCTCATGTATTTTCCCTTGTTTTATTTTTCGTCCGCAATGACAATGTTGGATCTTCTTCCATGGCAATAGCATTTCTCATGACCTTGGTTCTAAGTATTAGAATGGAAGCCAAGCAAACATGAACATCCAACTAGTCAAACCAGAGTTATGCATAGGCCAACTCCTTTGGCATTGTACGATGCTTCCTCCACTCAATACTCAGTAGTTCAGCATAAAATAACCTCCAGAATACAATTTTGCACTCAAAAAATCAGTAAGGTTTGAAAATTAGATACTTTTCGCCTAGTTTAGTCCATTATCATGGAGTTTTATATTTAAGGTATTAACTCTCATTTCTATCATTGCTATATTTGAAATATTTTTTTACTAATAACTTGTATTAATTATATTTATATTCAATATTTTTAACCCATGTTTTTTAAACAAATGCAAAAACAAAACCATTATTCCGTCCAAGTGACGAGTAAGTAATTCAACCATCTAATCAAGTTAGTCAAACCAATATGTTATTGTCAAATAATAAATTTTGTGAAATAAAACAACAAGAAAATGTAGAATGCCCATTTGACTAAAATGGGTATAAATGACCTTGTGGAACCTCTTTTTTTTACTAAAATACCTCATTTTTGAATATAGTATCTCTCTCTCTCTACATGTGAATGTAGACAATGTAATTTGGACTATTGTTGTTGTTGTTATTGTTATTATTGTTATTGTTGTTATTAATTTTGTTGTTGTTGTTATTATTATTATTATTATTATTATTATTATTATTATTATTATTATTATTGTTGTTGTTGTTGTTGTTGTTGTTGTTGTTGTTGTTGTTGTTGTTGTTGTTGTTGTTGTTACTTTCCACCAATAACATCTAACGATGAGATCTATATCCGATATATTTAATAATATAAACTCATTTTTTTTAATTAATCAAAATGTAAAAATTTCATTTGTCTGCATAAATAGTAAGCAATCAAACCATTTGAACCAAATTGGCCAACTCATGATATCGTAATTAAGCAATGAAAAATATAGAAAATAAAACACAAAAAAATACAAAATAAATTTTGTAAAAAATCATTTGGGCACATTCCAGATATTATGCATTCATCATATTAAACAAAAAAGAATGTGTAATAAATAATAATTATTTTCATGCACATAGAAATATAAAAAATTGTAGAAAATTTGAACACATATCATTATTGTCGTCGTCATCACCATCATCATTGTTTAATATTGCCATATGTACATTTGCTAGTAATATAATTATGTAGCCAGCCCCACATAATTGGGACAATATTTTCCAGTTGATTCAAGTGTAGTTGTATTCAACATGATTTACTTTAGGCCTTGCATAAAAGTGTTAGATGTACAATCACATAAAACTTGAAATAATAATTTGGAGCCATGTAGTTTTATTTCCTCTCTAATGGACAAAGTAACACAATTGCTATCTCATAAAATGATTACAACTAGATTTACATAGCAATAAAAAATGGAATAATCTTATAACATCCATTGAATTTCCTATAACCTCCTAGTCAAAAGATTCCCTTATTTATCCTTATATAATAAAAGAAATCAATAGTATAGCTATGAGAGTTTGGATGTGAATCTTGATAACAAAATTGCCATGTTTCTATTGTGTGATTGGACAAATGTGGCCAACAATGTGGTGTGGTCAACAATCATAACACGTTTTTTTCACATTGTAAAATCAATGGCTTAAAAGTAAACCAAATCCAATTGTATTAAGCTCACTCCCCTAAGATACATATAAATTTGGGTCATTTTTACAAAATTTAAATGTAAAAAAGGGTGAGGTATGGTTAACACCTTTTATTTTTAGTATTTAGGGGCATTCCATGGTGTGGTCCCTATAATGTGTGTGTGTGAATCTATTGAGACCTATTGAAGTGTGGTTGAAATTACATGGATTTAATCATGACACGCTTTCAAAAAAAGGTCAATCATTCATTGTATTACATATAGTAATTGTCCAACATACTCTCGTGCAAATCAATTAATGGGATTTTGGTATATGAGATAAATTTTGATGTCTTGTATTTCAAAGCCATCTACAGAATGCTTTCAACACATGTCACACATCCAAATGATTGCTTAATGGGCGTACCATATTTTCATAACCAAGCAATGTACCTAATGTCCATGGTAATGATCATTTCCTCGTTATTTTCTCTTTTAACCCAACAATCTTGGATTACTACATGATTAACCTATTAGATATATTGGACAACATGTGATACATTTGCAAGTAAGTCGATATGAGATGCCTTGAAAGCAGGGATGTATATGAATTGAACTTATCATAAACTATTTGATATTAGTTCATAAAAGTCGAGCTTCGAGCCAAACTCGAGCCCAATGAAGATTAGCTTATGAGGCTCGAGAGTTCAAGCTTCAAAAATAATTGTTACATGTATAATTTTTATTTTGCATATATGTGTATCGATGTATATATTGTTCAATCACTGATATCACAATTAAACAGTGAAAAATATAAAAGATAAAACACAACAAAATACAACATAAATTTTGTAAAAACCATTTGAATACATCTTTAATATCATGCATTCATTATATTAAACAACAAAATGTGTACTAAATAATAATTATTTTTGTGCACATGGAAATATAAAAGTTTGTAAAATATTTTAAACACATATTATTATTGTCATTA